GGGAGAGGCAGTTAATATTTAAATCATTTTAAACACTTGTATAATCGGCAATGTCATTTTTAATGGTCACTAATACTAAACTACATAAAAAAATGATTAAATCCAGTAGAACAACGTCTCCAAGACGCCTGTAGAAACCTTCCTGCAAAGCTACTTGTAAAACTTTGTGCAAGTGTACCTGGACGAAATCTGTTTTAAACGCAAAGGGTGGTCACACACCAAATATTGGTTTGATTATAATAAAATCTATTTATGATATTGAAAGCATCCAAAAAAAGCATTTTTACACAAGTGTCTAAAACCTTCCACAATAATGTAGCTTTGAAGGCAGGTTTCTTCAAGCGTCTTGGAGACGTTGTCGCAGTTCTTCTGGATTTAGTCTGTCTCAAGTTTTTTCATGTAATCACAGACAGACTCTGTGATGGTGAGATCAGATCATACCGGCTGCTGTCAGACTCCTTTGTGCATACAGAAATCTCACTGGATTATTACAATGAATTAATGTTTGGAAATGTAAACTGATATTTCCTGACACACAGCAAAAGATGGCTTAAAACCATTGAAATATAACGTGCCTAAGACTAAGACTTTTGCAGAGTTATATATATATTTATATTTCTGTCAGGACCACTATCGTCAAATACGATTGACAATTAGTTCTGGGAGAGAACTCCTTGCGCATCCATGCAGCCTAGCATGGATAAGAGCAGGGAGAGCAGCAATAACCCCCCTTAGGGTAAACAGAACAGAATCAACATGAATGTATTGCAGATATCATTAAATCAAGATTTTAACGTACAACATAAATCGAGAATTTAATCTGATTCAAGGGGAATCAGAATGCCAAATCCTGACTGACGAGAGGAGGAGCTGGGGATGGAGGAGGGTTATTAGCTCCTGAGAAACGCCATAGCTGCTGATAATACTGAAGGAGCTTATACATGTGTATACAGTGATAGGCGTGGATCAGCTGAGAGTCAGCTGATGCGAGCTTGACTAACGTGACCTGCCAGAACTGACGCTACACAGGTTGAGGTTAAATAGGGGAAATGCTGTAACTGGTCAACATTGTAAATAGGTCTTTAGGTTTTTGCAGTTCACTCAACATGCAAAGAGAAATGTAAGACATTAATAGGTCGATTTGAAAATGATCAGCCATTTTGAAAAAAAATTCAATTCACATTAGTGACATTAGTGATACTATCACACACTTTACCTTTAAATAACCCCGTGGTGGGACAAATACATTTTTAAAGGTACAAACATTCCTTGTAATTTCTCAATTAATACAATAAAACTGCCTAAACACATGCATAATAAGCATATAGAAATAGAAAAATGTTGTTTATAATAGTTTCAGGTGGAATGTGCCTTGATAATGTAACAACTGACTACTAAAGTCTAAAATAAACAACAACTGTATTAAAGAACATTATACTTTTCAATGCAGTAGAAAATATTATCATGGAATGCATGAAAATCTTATTTTTCTGGAAGTACTCACCTCTTCATAGTCCCTGGACATTATTAGTCCGAATTCCGTCTTTGAAGGAGTGCTCCATTTTGCTTGCTTATTCAAAAAAAAAAAATGTGCAGTACAACCTGAGAATGCTTAACTGCAGATGTGTCTTAAGAAAGAGTGTGACTGAAATCAGGCCATTATAGTCTGTGACTAATGCACATCATGAGGAATCCAATTCATTCTATTTCTGTTCAATAAAGGGATGTCAATTTGATCTAAATCAAGTCAAGGCCTATTGCAGTTTATCTTCATTATACAAAACCAGTTTCAGCCTTTGGTATTCCAGGATTTCTATGCAAAGAGAAAGCACACACACACACACACACACACACACACACACACACACACACACACACACACACACACACACACACACACACACACACACACACACACACACACACACACACACACACACACACACACACACACACACACACACACACACACACACACACACACACACACACACACAAATGTATTGAGAAAGAATAAAGCATATGACACTAACACTGAAACAGATTATTGCAGATTGAGCCACCTATGAGACAAGCGCTGCATGCAGAATCATTTAAAGACATTTCATTTCTCTGTCTGCACCCACACTTGAGTTGACATTGGTCCCTCGTCACGGGATGTTTAAAGCCCCTGCAATTCAGGTTTATACTAAGAATAACGCAACAGAAATTATGCATTGAAACATCAGCACAAAAAAGCGAGCAAACGGGCAAAAAACACAGAAAAATCATGCACAACTAAGGATGAGGCAGCTCGCAGGCGTCATGGCAACAGGGATGTGATGATGGCTGAATTTTAATGACACCCAGCCTAAGACTTCATAACTGCATTTATTCTCATTTCAAATATAAATATTCATTTATAGAATGCGTTTCTCCCAGGCTGATAAAGATATATGAGATTTCGTTTACAACATAATCTCAATGTTAATTGCTATAGAATCAATATAAAAATAACCATTTAGGGCTTCCAGATCATAACTGGCCCAGTTTCACACATCTGATTAAATAAGAATTGTGTGGCAGGTAATTAAGCTGGATGCAGTTTAAAATAAATCCATCAACTATGGTTGCCACCTACACTCGTGATATAATTACACAACGATCAAGGATACAACATTGACTATATTTGTGACATTCCAAATAAATCAAATGAGACCAATGTGAACCAAAAAGAAAACAATTCATTCGAGTAATAAAATAAGAATTCTGCATTCATTTCTACCAGCAAACTCACCTCTACCAACTCGCTCTCAATGCGTCTAAATGGTTGCCAGATGCTCATGCTGGATTCTACCCCAAAGCACATTAAAGTCATGCAGTGAGACGCAGTTCATTGGCGCAAAAGCATCCTTGAATGAGGGACTTTTCGGCGTGCGAAGGCAACCCGCGCTCTGACGGAATGGTGCTTTGATCACATGACTGCCAACCCCATCCAGATAGTAGCGAACAAATGGGTCTGATATAAATCACCAATCTTCATTCTTATTTTGTCATACGTATTAAGATTCAGGAATTTGCGAATAATAATTAGCTTCACTGAGAAAATAAAGCACGAATTTCAAAGACTGTTCAATTAAAGCTAAAAACGATTCAAAACGCTGTCTTTCCTTTCAGCGCCCAAAAGTGATTATGCAATCTCTTTTCAAGTTATTTGACTGTTTTCTCATGCATTTTCTATAAAACCAATTTGAAAAACCTCTTTAATAAAGTTGCTATGGATAGGCCTACTGTTCACCACGGTTTGTTCAGTTTTTGTTCGTTTTATGCCAAAAGGTGGCAACAGACAAGTCATAAAGGAGTCATTGAATCAATCACTCAAACGACTCGTTAAAACACCGACCCTTTTCACAACCAAAACACGCGTTTTACCCACAAAATAGCTATTGAATGGAACTCCATCAATAGGCTATTCCTCCAATTCTGGACATGACTTTCATCAAGACGTTGTGTAAAAACACAACAACTGCCTAAATGAGATAATGTTCAGTTGGTTCACGAATGAAATGTAGGCCTACAGGCTCAAAACGTCAAAACACAGATTCGTTGAAAGGGTCGTATCGGTTTAGTAGTCCAACCAAGGAAATTCTCCTTCACTGCCCGGCGTGCCCGCAATCGAAGGCTATTGACTCCTAATACAGTCAGTCTTAAAGGCCCAAAAGCAGTAGGCGACTTCAGTCAGTGAAGGGAAAATATTGTTCACTTAAAAGATTCGTTCAAAACACCAAGCGTTGAACCAAACTAACCAGCTCATACTACGAGACAAGTGTTACAAATACAAGACTGTGTACTTAAAGGTTCTATTTTTTTGCAATAACATGCATAAGTCCCTACAACCTGACAGATGACAATGAAAATATAGGTGTTCAGACGTCTTTTACAGACTTTGTAAGCAAATGGTACAGACTATTTACCTCAGAGCTCATAATAAGTTTGTCCTGAAAGTTTATTTGTTATAGCCAAACAATCTTGAAACCTCTTCTTCTGAAACCTATCTGTTGTGCATGTACTGATTCTGTTTTCTATTAGTGAAAAGTAATTTCACTAGCACTTATTTCCTTTACTCAGGCAGTCTGCAACAAGGCTCAGGACTCAGGAGAGACACTTCTTTAGTCTCAGGAAAGACAGAACAATACCATATTGAAGAGATTCCCAGGAGGCGCTCTGCTGTTTCTGCTGTTAGTGGTTTACTTTATTAGACAAAAATAAGCATACAATGTTACTTCACTTTTGTATGTAGATGTGTTTTGGAGTAGGCCTACTATGTACTTACTATGGTATATGAATACGGGAATCATTCAGTAGTCTATGTCAAAGTACACAGTTTTTGACAGCTATGTTTTACATTGACCAAGACTGTTGAATACTGGGTGACACTCACTGCTATTGACGCAATGGTCACATACAATATTCACAAACACCCCAAACCAACATTGGCTAGAGAATGTAAAGCTTCAGACGCACTAAAGCACTGTTATGTTTAATTGCCATATCCTAAAAACAATTCAATTCAACATTTTACACCACTGCATGAAAGGGTTACACTTTACAGTAAGGTTACTTTCTCTAACATTAAAGTCACCATGAAATCAAAATGGACAGTTTGTTTTTAATCGAAAATTGCATTATTTATTATACGTGATATAGCCTACATCATTATTTTAAAATTCATGTTCCCTTGTAATCTCGAATCAAAATAACTTCCCTTCCTTCTTGCAGAGAAATCTCTTCTCTTCTCTGATGATGCGTTTACTGGCCTGAGGGTGGGACAACCTGTCACTCACATGAGATCGACCAATAGCAAACCACATCCATCCAATCAATTACCCATGACAAAATGAAGCCCCGCCCTACATTGCTTCTGAGAATGCATTAACTAACATTAACTAATGGGACCTTATCGTAAAGTGTTTCTGTTCTCATGAAGATAATAAGTCAAATGAGTGTCACTATAGTATAAATCAGATCTCTTCTCAAATCAGAGCAAGCCTTGAGTTCATGTTTTGGGATTTATGTACAATCCTTAGTCTTTTGTCACAGTGCAGTCAGGGACGGGTCTCTTGAAAGATGTGAATGACGCTGTCATATGCAGGTGGTGGAGTCTGTCTGGGTAGAAATCCTCTTAGACTGCCTTTCCCCAGCCAGAAAGACTCTGCTGGTTCTGTACTAAATGGATCTGTGATGTTAGGAATCAATGCAGCTTGGTTATCATCCTCTGTTTCATCACTAGTCTTGTTAGTCTTTTTTGGTGGTGGCCGAAAAGTGGAGTTCAGAAAGCTGGGGCTTCTGCCCAACAGCTCATTGGGGTCTACGGAGGTCTGCCTGTGGAGGTTTAAAGTCGTTCTTCCCGCATATTCACTGTTCTTGTCAAAACCGTGACTCTTGTAGTGTCTGAGGTGGCAGCGTTGATTACGTGAGCCTTTAGATTCTGATGACTGGTCTTGACGTCTGCTGATCCTGACCGAAGCTCTCCGTCTTGACATCCATGTAAGGAGGAGGAAAATCAAGATCCCGATGAGCAGACCCATCAGTATTGACAAGCAGAACGCCAGGATGAGCTCCTCTGGATGGAAAGGTTATTGAATTTTGAGTATGTTATATCAAAAATCAGTTTGAACAGGTGAAGGGTCTGCAATAGACTATTTTCATGTTGAAAATATTTCATATTGACAGTTTAAATTGATATACAAATATGAGCCAGCTTAAGCAAGGCTACAATGATAGTAAAACAAAATGCACAGCAATTCTTACCAAAATCAATAGGTTTCAGTATTTCCCAAATCACATTAGTTTCATTTGAAGCCATAATAGTTAGCAGAAGCATGTCAACATGCAGCCAAACTGAATCCAAGCCCACAAGGACTGTTCACTGTATTTCTCAGGGAATAAAAGGGAAGTTTGCATAAAGGGAAACATTGTCGTCATTCTTCCTGCCTCTTTACTTGTAAAATTAGCAAGTGCTCGGCTTATCTGTTCAGGACAGAAATCCAGGGGAACAGAGCTGTTTCCTCTTGCATCATTTCCTTCGTTTCAGTGGATACAATACAATGGCTTCTTCACCCCATTATATTATAATTGACCAACTTACACCTTTTTGTAGACCTTTCAGCACTTTAAATTTCCTACTTTTGCAGTACAGTTTTGAGATTGAGTGAGGATAAAAGAAAAAAAAACACTTAAGTAAAAACAAAAAACAAAAACTGAACAATGCATCTTTCGAGATAGTTTTGATTTGACACAGTTCCCATAGGAAAATGAAAACGCCCATGCAGGTGATAAGGTCTCAGTTGTCAGAGGGGATTTCCTTACAGCCTTAGTATCTGTGCCTTTTGGCCTAACACTGTATGTTTCATGATCATAGAACCAAATAATAATACTCTTAAAAATACCCACCTAAAAGTAGTAACTATATAATTTTTGCTATTAAGGTGTCTAAAAATGCATGTCCTCTCGGAAGAAAAAGGAAGATGATATGAATTCAACTGAATTCCCAGTCTCTGTTACCTCCGGGTGTACTGGCTTTTACAAATACTGCAGTGAAGGAAACTTTTTAGAAAACTATAGCAGGACAGCCTTGCTCTGAGTTTATTGCAAAAACAGGAATGGCCAGCAGATGTCATTATTGAACCACGTTGTTCTTGATGGAAAGACCGGTGTGGTAATCTATCTATCTATCTATCTATCTATCTATCTATCTATCTATCTATCTATCTATCTATCTATCTATCTATCTATCTATCTATCTATCTATCTATCTATCTATCTATCTATCTATCTATCTATCTATCTATCTATCTATCTATCTATCTGCCTGTTGCCTGCCTATCTATCTATCTATCTATCTATCTATCTATCTATCTATCTATCTATCTATCTATCTATCTATCTATCTATCTATCTATCTATCTATCTATCTATCTATCTATCTATCTATCTATCTATCTATCTATCTGCCTGTTGCCTGCCTATCTATCTATCTATCTATCTATCTATCTATCTATCTATCTATCTATCTATCTATCTATCTATCTATCTATCTATCTATCTATCTATCTATCTATCTATCTATCTATCTATCTATCTATCTATCTATCTATCTATCTATCTATCTATCTGTCTGTCTGTCTAGCTGCCTGTCTGCCTGTCTTTTCATCTATCTATCTATCTATCTATCTATCTATCTATCTATCTATCTATCTATCTATCTATCTATCTATCTATCTATCTATCTATCTATCTATCTATCTATCTATCTATCTATCTATCTATCTATCTATCTATCTATCTATCTGTCTGTCTGTCTGTCTGTCTGTCTGTCTGTCTGTCTGTCTGTCTGTCTGTCTGTCTGTCTGTCTGTCTGTCTGTCTGTCTGTCTGTCCTTCCTCTGCGTTGTTTCATTGCACTGTCAAACGCTTTGAAGAACTTGACATTCTACAAGAACTTTACCGCTGTGTAAACGCCCCCTTATTGTTCCTTTTAACACCGATAGGTGGCGGTAAAGGTCACATGAAGTAACGCGGCCTTGCAACATTGTTTAAAGGTTTCCAAAGCAACCATAGAAAGCAACCCGTCTAACAGATCTTCATTATCATCACATGAGACTGAGCCCTGAGGGGAAGGAAGCGTCTTCTGCTCACGGTAATACACACTACTATACAAATGAAACAAATGTATTCTGATGAATTAGAACTGGTGTTCTTGGCGATTTGCGTAATAATATTTCCTGTTTAATCTCCAAGCATGGTTTTAGACTTCCGACAAGCTGTTTGTGCTGATATTTATCTTGTGTTGCTGAGTTTCTATTGTCTTCACTTAGTTACTTGCATAACTTTGTCTGATATGCATCAATGCATGCAAAGTCCATGATGCGTTTTATGTGCAATAAACATACGATGAAAAGTTATCCCTGGTGGGCAAATACTCTAAATTATGCTCTATAACTAAAGCTCTTTTCCATATAATAGAAATCAGTCAAGAAGTCAATAGATTATTATTATTACTATTATCAAACTGATAAAAATTAAATCAGTGTGCATACTGTACAGTACAATTGCAAATATTGGAAATATGCAGTTTTCTACCTGATATTAAAAATAAGTTTTGCTTGTGTAACCTTATTTATACTGATTTATACTGATAATAAAATAATGATGTTTTTTTTTGTTTTTTTTAAACGTAAGTTACACTAGTTAGTTTATATGTTACCTCATCTAAATCCTTTTACACCCATGCTGTTAATTTTTCTTCTTGGTTCACTGACTAGATAGAAGAGGACTTGTGATTGGTCGACTACCTGGTTGGGCACCTAAATGAAACCTGCTTTTCTATTGGATCGTATCAAGTTCCTGGAGTTTCTGCATCAGAGAGAGAGAGAGAGAGAGCAAGAGGAGGAAAGAGAGTTGTAGGAGGGGCAGATGGGGATGCCCCTTAAGAAAGTAGTGCAGTATCTGCTGTCTAATGTGCATGAGTGATCCGGTGTCAGAGGAGCACAGGACTGTAGAGAGGGACCATGGCTTCCCTAAGCCCTTTCGGACGGTCCACCAAGGACATTATGAATGTAATGCAGAGGCTGCAAGGTAGGTGATGCTGTATTTCTGTTCTCCCGGCTCCCATGACCGTCCTCTGGCTCTATGAGTCAGGAGGAAATTTGCTGATTCAGTGCCTTCACACAGAGAGTTTGCCAGATGCCTCTTGTTGCACAAATGCACCATATTTGATAGCATAGGAACTTACCCACTTGAGAAATCAATATTCATGCTTTACATAATGGCTATGCGTGTCCATCCATTTATCTTTTAACTAATGTTGTCATCAAATAGAGCTTATGGCAGTGTTGTAAACAGAAATGTTTGTGCATTTGAACTGTCCCAAGGGAATCGTGCACTATGCATTATGATGGTTTACGGACGCCTTGTTTTATCAGCTGAGAGTTCGAATGGACTGGTTTTGTGCTGCAGTACTTGAGGTTTTCAAATATAGGATCTATTTGTGTCGTGATGCTTTCTGTGTATTTTTGGACATAATTGTGTCTGCTTGGTGCTGACATAAATTGGTCATTTCATTTAAATCACATAGATGGCATGTAATCTAACTACAAGACCTGTATTGTTAAATTGCCCTAGTCATGGGGGGTTTTTCCCCACAAAGAAAATTGATAAAAGATTGAGCATTTGGGGTGATCCATTGGGGATTAGATTTGTGTTTAAAATAAGTTTAGCCCATGAAGGTCATCATTGTCTTTTTCTTACAGGAAGTTGGCCTTGACAAAAGGCCCTTATCAAAAACTTGTGTTGCTGCCATAGAGAGAATAGTTTTGTTTGACCTTTCTTGCTTGAATGATATTTACATTCTTTATGATAAGGTTGTTTTAGTTTACTGGAATGCTATGTCATGTCATATCAAATGCATTTGAGACACATTTCTGCCAATATGGTGCCTGCCAACATAATGAGTATGGCTTTTAGGTGGCAGGAAAGGTTATATGTTTTGCAATAATTTTTGGAGGAAGGAAAAAAATATAAAACCACCCTAAAGAAAAACATAGAAGCGATGATTGCTGTTCTGGGAGCAAGTGATGACGTTGGGATGCAGGGGCTCATGCTGGTAGGAAAATGTTTCCATAATCCACCTGTTTTGCTGGGCAGCTAAAATATTATTCATCACCAAATCCACATGATTAAAGGTGCAGTGTGTAGTTTTTAGCGACATCTAGCGGTTCAGTTGCGAGTTGCACTAAGGGGGTCAGCCCACTGCTCACCCCTCCCTTTCGAACAAGCTACGGTGGCTAAAACGGGACAAACATGAGCCCAAAGGTGTGTGCGGCAAAATAGACATGATTGTAACAGCGCGCGCGCCTCCGCATCCCCTAGACACCATTTACTACACACAATAGGCTTTTTTTCTCTGATTTTCAAAACTCTTCGCGATCGACTTAAAATGCTTCCAAGATCGACTTGTTGACTGCGATCGACGGGTTGGTGATTCCTGTAACATACTGTTTTACGGTCAATGACAAGAGTACTGATCAGCTGTCTCACGAACGTAACCAGCACATTTATCCCCACATAGCAAAGCCATAACACAGCGAGGGAGAAGAACTAAGTTACATGAAACAATCCAACTACATATTTTACACCACTGACAAGGGAAAAGTCACTACTCACGGTGTCTATGACTAGCTTCTAGCTTTCTGCGGCTTCTCTTTAGTGACGAAACGCGCTCTGTAGCGCTGTTTATTCGCTGTCGGCTACGGTAGAAACATGACGTCACAATATGTCGACCTTCATAGAAGGGTTATATAGATATAAATGTCTCATTCTAAGGCAATAAAAACATTACGGTTTATTAAGTAAGTTCTTTATACACCACTGAAAACATATGGATGTCATATTGCATTTCTGTTAATAGATACTCAAAATTTTTACACATTGCACCTTTAAAGGGATAGTTCACCCTCCCATGTCAAATCTATGATCATTTATCTTTTATTTCTTCTATGGCAGTGCTGTTATTGTTAAATAAAATTGTTTTAAAGTTGAAATGAAATACATTATAAATATTATATAAAGAACTTAAAACTAAAAAAACAAACAGTTGCTTCTGCAACTAACTGAAATAATTAAGTTTAAGTTGAGTTACTAAAATAAGTTAAAGCTAATAAAAAACACAAGCAAAAATACAATATAAACGCAGGTCCTAAAGCTCTTGCCTGATCATAACCCTTCTTTTTCCACTGATATTCCTCAGACCTTTTCTATTTTGTAATGTCTCTCAGTCATCTCTCTTTCTACAGTCTTTCTTCAAATCTCCCTCTTGCTCACTCTCTCTCCTCCCCCATTATGAGTGGACACGCCCCCAATTGCTGATTGGCAACAAGTGTGTTGTGCTGC